TGCCACCAGGCATGGAGAAGAACTAGAAGTATGGTATAAGTCGTTAAGGAGCTTCAGTCTAGTTGGGAAGAAAAACCAAGACGGATGGTGTACTTGAAGGTTAATTTAAGTAGATGCCTATTTAAGTGCCAGGTAGTATAGTGTCAGCTTTAGATGTAGGTCCTTCTTAACCTTGCTGGGGCTCAGTTTCTGCGTCTGTGAAATGGGCATGACACTGGTACATTTCTCATAAACCGGTGGTGTGTAGAACCACACCTGGCACATATTAGCCAGTAAGTAACGATGCAGTGATCATCGTCATCACTCAGGACTGGGTGATCAGAGAACCCTTGACAGATGAAGGGGCCAGAGAGGAGCAGACAGCCCTGATATGACCAGAGCAGTGTGCAGGAAGAAGGCTGGGAAGTTCAAATAGAGGGACAGTGGAGTTTGGGGCAAAAATGAGGTTTGTGTGATTTAGGTCAAGAAAAAATGGGCATGAATGTATCTGATGACTCCAGCCTGAGGCTGGGACACAGTCTCCTCGGCCAAGCCCTCACCACGGGGGCCCCCTCACTACTGGAGCTTTCGTGGGCTGCCCTGTGCATACCTGGGGTGCTAGAGCCACAGGACTCGCTCAGCGCCTCTCAGAGCGCTGGGTCACTCTCCAGCGACCAAAATCGAGACTTTACATATGTCATTGCTTAGAATGCATAATTAGCCAGTGTTTGTTTGTATTTTTTTTAAAATAAAGTAAAATTCAACTTATTTTGTTGTTAAGGGTATTTTAATAGAAAAATTTGAGGATCGCCCAGCCGGTGTGGCTCAGTGGTTGAGCTTCGACCCACAGACCAGGAGGTCGCCGGTTTTATTCCCAGTCAGGGCACGTGCCTGGGTTGCAGGCTCAATCCCCATTGGGGGTGTGCAGGAGGCAGCCAGTCAATGTGTCTCTTTTATCAGTGTTTCTATCTCTCTCTCCGTCTCCCTTCTTCTCTCTCTAAAAATAAATAAAAACATATTAAATAAAAAAAGAAAAGTTTGAGGATCATTCTCAGAGGGCATCTCTACTCTGACCCTAGCACCTCGCTAGAGTGTCTGTGCCCCAATAACCTTGAGAGCTAAGAGAGGACACAGCCCTTTCTATGGCTTAGGACATTTCCCCCTGGTGCCCTGGACGTGCCAGGTGCATGGGGAACAGCTAAACCACCTGCTACCAATGCAGTGCTTAGAGCCATGACTTCCATGGCAGATGTGCCGAGACGTGTGAACCCCCAGGGAGAGACACCTCATGGGCCAAAGCCTGTATTTGTTAAATCACAACAGAGTGGATTTCCTATTCTGTCTCTATTGTGGGCCACCCCAGGAGACAAAACCCTGCCTGGTTCTGACCTTTGTCTCTGTCTGCCTGGTTCCGACCTTTGTCCCATGGACAGAGAAAAATCTTTCACTTTGAAGACTTGAGAATCTGGCAGGTGACATCCTCTGAAGATCACTATATTATTGATCTTGTTCACACAGCAGATACTGACTTCTAGGTAAACCCTTGGGACAGACAGTGGGTATCTGTGGGCCTCTGCAGCTGGATGGGGACCCTTGAGGTCTGAAATTGTCTGAGAGGGGTCTACACCAGTCTTTCTCCAACATTGCTTCACATGAGCACCTGGGAGATTTTCAAAAACCCCTGTGTCCAGGGTGACCCCAGACCAGTGAAATCTCCAGGACGGGCTCAGGCACTGTGTCTCTGAAGATCCCCCAGATGGTTGCAGCCACGTTTAAGAACCACCGGTTTAGATTTCTTGCCATCCCTCGGATGGGAAGGGATTGCTGGGCCCTTGTGGCTGGCTGGCTGGCTGGCCTGTTTGGGGAGGTGATTCATTCAGCCCATGGGTCAGACCTTGTCTGCCAGATCTGGTGTGGGCAGCAGCCAGCCCAGCCCCAGTGCTGACATCCAGGGTGTGAGGTTTCATGTCCTGGCCACACAGGGCTCCTGGGAGTTGGGACAGCTGTCTTCTGCGTCAGTCCTGGGGGGTGGGGGGGGGTGCCCACGGCACCTTGTGCCACTCCCCAGGTTTGTGGTGGGAATGAGGTAGAAGAAATGGGTTATCTGCCAGAGGAAAGGGGAACAGGAAGAAGAAGCCGTGGGTTAAGGCAGCCCTGCCTCTTGCTGTCTTCAAAACCAGGCCTGGGGCACTGGCCTTTGAAAGCGAGGACACAGAGAAATGGCTGTAGTTCGGTTGGAAACTATGAGAGATCTTCCAGAGCTTCTAGAGTTTTCCATCACTTAACTCTTTTAAGTAGATGAGAATGAGAAAGCTATTCACTCTTGCGGAGCAACAGCGTGTTTCAGAGACAGAATGGAGCCCAGGATAGTAACAGGACACTGGTCCTTGTGCCTGGAAGCTCCCAGGGGGCAGGGGGCAGACCGGGTCCCATGGCGACGCGCCCGGGGAAGGTATGAGCAGCTCCATTTTAAGGGTCCTGTTTAAATGGATGAATCAACAGTGAATGAAGACGTTCGGTGAGGCCCACACCACTTGCTACTTGCCTCAAGCAAACAGGAGATGCCTTGGGGAGTGCTTCCCCTTGGGTGGTCTGTGGCATCAAGGACCAGATCCAGAGACCTGACGGGCCATGTAGGAAAGGGTGGACCCTACACCCTGGCAGCTGCATGTCACTCCGAGGCTAGAAGTTCTTTCTTGCCGTCTTCTCAAGAGACGTGCTGCTGCTGGGCGCCCCTGGGCCCAACCCACTGACCCACTGACCCAGTACACCTCGGATAAACATTTCTCAGGTCATGTCATTTACAGGCCTTGGTTTAGCAGCTGCTTGTCCCAGCCTGTGGCGTGGACTTTGGTGATCCTTATGGGGGTGGTGGGCCAACCCCTTCAGCAGAAGAGGCCATGGTAGGGAGGCCAGGTGGTGAGTTGAGAAGAACATGGGCTCCAAACTTAGGTGGACTTGGTTCTAGGCCCCACCCAGCCACTCACTAGCAGTGGCAGCTAAGAAATTCGGGCACGTTTCCTAGCCTCTCTGAGCCTCAGTTTTGTAATCTGTAAATAGGAATAAGCTATGTAGTATGTAAGACAAGGCATGCGAAAGCCCAGAGCACGGTGCTGCTATCGAGACCCCCAGGGAGGAACGGGAGGGAGGACAGGCCAAGGGAAGAAGCTGTCACAGGAAAGGGCTGTCGACCCACCTCCATGCTGAGGGTGGGAGGCCGCACCAACGCTCCACGGCAGCCACAGAACTTGACATTTTATGGGCTCTGTGGGATTGGAAAGTGGGAGGAGGAAGTGATAGCGTGCTGTTGAATGTGACGTGTCTCCCACGGGCCAGCTTGCTGAAGGGAGGACGGCCAGGTCAGGCTCAGCTGTGGGTGCCCGAGCGTCAACTGGATGGCGATACCATGGGAGGTGGTTGTGAAATTCCCCAACCAAACCAGACAGTCACTGCATGGTGCTGGATGGTGTTAGGGAGACCGCTGTCATCCGCCCCTCTGGGCCTTCGTTTTCTCTTCTAAAAGAGAATCCTGACCCTCCCCAAATCAGGTAGATGTCTAAGATCAGGCAAATTCGGGGTGGGTTTTGACCAGCCAACCTATGTATTCATTGATTCCCCCAAATGATGGCTCCCGCACTGACAGCCACACTCGGACCACGTGAAGACAAACCTGCGAAGGCGAGGGTGAACCTGAGGGACGTCCAGGGGACTGACGAGGCACAGAGTTGCTCGGACCCCAGAATTCACCCCGGACCCCTCCACAGTGTGAAGAGCATTGACCTCCACGTCTCAGCTTTGTTCTTCCTTGACCTTCCCGGGGATGCGGCGGTGATGAGAAGAATAAACCGCGATGTCATAGGAAGAACAACAGAGCAGACCGGACATTGTCTTTTAGTTCTGCCCACACTGACTGTAGGGCTTTAGGCAAGTTGCTAAACTCTTAGTCTCAGTTATCTGCCTATTAGATGAGGCGGTCAACTGTCTTGCAGAATTTGGGTTCCCGAGGATTAAATGAGATACTGCGTGCCCAGTGCATGCCCAGGGTGTGCTAAGTAAATGCTGGTTGACCCTCTGCCCCAGTAGAGGAGGGTTATCCCCTCAGTGATCGTAGAGGGCTGCAGCCCCCTGCCCCCACCACGTCACTCATTCCTCTGACAAATACACATTTACTTCTTCTTATGACGTGGGGCCTGAATTGACTGTCCCTGTGCCATCGGACCTCTGGTCTGGGAGAATTGCTGTCATCCATTGCGTCAGCACACGCTGGCATCCACTGCACAGCTCCGGTCTCTCCACCTCTGTTGTTCCTTCTCCGAGGAGGTGGAGCGTGGCTTGCATTTCTTTGCATCTCCCATAGCATCTGAAAGTGTCTTGTCCACAGCTACCCTTCATCAGAAGATGCAGCTCTGCTGATTCGCCGGGTTCATAGTCGGTGCTCCCATTTCACAGATGAGGAGACCGAGGCTTGGAGTGATTGAAGTTACTTCCCCAGGGGTGGCAGGGATTTGACCTCTGTTCCCACGCTGAATCCATGCAATTCTTGTGTGTGTGTGTGTGCGTGTGTTTGTTTTCTTATGAAAGATTCACTGGTTTGGCTTTAATTCGTTTTAACCCATAAGCTTTTAAAAATGGAATCAATCAGAGGAAAAGGGTGTAGGGGAGTAATTTTCCAACACTTCCCTTGTAAACTCATATTTTAGATTCTTCATTGGAGTAAAACGGGCTCTTCACTGCTTACAAGGTTATTTCTGAGTTGCAAAGCTATCTCCGTGTTGCTGTTTTTGCCGTGTCCCCCCGTTCAGTCTTGGCTGCCACAGTCAGTCAGACAGCGTGAGGACCCCTTCTCTCGCATCTGCAGTGGGGACCTTAAAAGCAGAGAGGAACAGTTCCAGGCCTGCAGTTCACTGTCTCCGCGTGGAGCTGCCGCTCCCTTCTGGGTCAGAGGCCTTGGGGAGGGCGTGGTTACTCCCTTGGAATCCTAGAACCACTGCACACCCACCTCGCCTCTGTGTCTGTTCCAGAATGTCTGCAAACCCGCAGAAGAGCCTCGGTGCCCACCCACACTGCAGGAGATCAAGCAGAAGATCGCCAGCTACAACAGCCGGGAGAAGAACTGCCTGGGCATGAAGCTGGTGAGCCGGCCTGCCCGCCCGACCTCCCGGCCTCCTCACACCCGCCCCTTCCCGTCGGGGCCTCAGGGTTGTGGAGGGTGGATAGCCGAGGCTGTCAGGCCTTCATACTTTAGAGAAATAGAATAAGATACAGATCCGGTCTCTGGCTCTTCCACTTTTTCACTTGTGACTTTGGGAAACTTCTTAACTTCTCTGAGTTTTCCGGTAAAATGGAGATATTGGTGCCCTTTTGGGAATTAGATGATATACAGTGGCCAAGGGCCCGGCATAGCTGTGGACAAGGGGCGTCCGCAGCCCCTCTTGGTGGTTGCACCGGTACCGCCTGTCTGGGGAAAGCTTCCTTGGATTGTGCAGAGCTCAGGGCAGGTCCCGAAAGCCCATTTTCAGTGGGGAGGAGAGGAGAAAATAGGAGAACCTTGCCCCCTGCTGGCAGGTTGCAGTAACTAGCTCTTTGGGGCTTCAGCCAGATGAGGCCCCAGAAAATCCAGTCACAGATGGGCCTCTGTTTAAGTCTTGCAGGCTGTGGATTTCTGGAAGGGGGCCACTCCAGACCCGCCTGTTAGAAGGGGGACTCACCTAAGGCAATCAGCATCTGTCTGGTGGCAGATTCAGGGCAGGTAGCCTGAGTCCCTCTGGAGGAAAAACCACAGCAGCCCCAAGTATCCTCTCTCGTAGCTAGATACTGTGGGCCTTCTTGGGGCCCACTGGGCACCCCTAGTTCAGTGGAGGCAGGAAGGAACTCAGGTAGACAGGTGGGCAGCACTCCTATTAGGAAAGGCCTCTGCAGCCCCTGCGACCTGGGGCAGTGGCCTGAGTGGCAGGTAGGACCGTGCAAGACAGACCCACCCTGACCCCATATGACCCCCCACTGGCAGAGTGAAGACGGCACCTACACAGGCTTCATCAAAGTGCATTTGAAACTTCGACGGCCGGTGACGGTACCTGCCGGGATCCGGCCCCAGTCCATCTATGACGCCATCAAGGAAGTGAACTTGGCAGCCACCACGGACAAGCGGACGTCCTTCTACCTGCCTCTCGACGCCATCAAGCAGCTACACATCAGCAGCACCACCACGGTCAGTGAGGTCATCCAGGGGCTGCTCAAGAAGTTCATGGTCGTGGACAATCCCCAGAAGTTTGCACTTTTTAAGCGGATACACAAGGACGGGCAAGGTATGAGGTTGCGAGCTCCCACCCAGAAGCCACCTTCCCAGCTCTGTCTGTGCCCCACTGAGCCGCCAGGCCGGGCGGGGGCGGTGAGGAGTGGCCCTCTCTGGGCACCGCAGTGACGCCATCCACGTGGCTTCAGGTCTGTGGAAGGCCGTGCACACATGCGGGACCAAGGGCTGGGTGGGGGCGCTCGCCGCTCACTGTGCCCCCCACTCCATGTGTGACTTCAGGAAAACCACACCCGGGGCCCCCCCTTCCTAGTCTGTGGAATGAGCGAGAATCCGCCCACTGCCCCTAATCTTTGGGGAGATGACGTGAATGGAAACACGCTTCAAACTCTGAGCAGACACCAGAGATAAAGGTCATTGCCCTGTTATTCCTGTCAGGTCCGTTCCCTTGGGTCGAAAGGATGACTATGTCCCGGTATCACCGCCCCACCTGTCTAGTCCCGGGGCCCCCGCCCCTGGCCCCCAGACAAGCCCAGCCCCTCTCTTGGTTTGCAGTGCTCTTCCAGAAACTGTCCGTCGCCGACTGCCCCCTCTACCTGCGCCTGCTGGCTGGGCCCGACACGGACGTCCTCAGCTTCGTGCTAAAGGAGAATGAGACCGGAGAGGTGGAGGTAGGCCTGGCCCTTGGCTGCTACAGAAACACAGCCCTCCGGGCACCGTGGGTGGGCGCGTGGGCACCGTGGGCGCCGCCCTCACCGCCCTCCCAGGTGCAGCAGGAAAATGACTTGAGAACTGGGCCCAGGTTCAGTGTATAAAGCAGACTTGCCAATGCCCTGGGTGGCAAGTCGGGGCCCGTGCCGGGCAAGGTCTGTGCTTCGTTTCTGAAAACTCAGGATGGAAGGGCCCTGAGAAACGGCCTGGGTTCAGCCCAGGTTGTTTTGCTCCAGGGTGGCCTGAGGCCCGGCAAGCACCATCTCTGGGCTCCACTGGGTATAGACATTTTTGAGCCTTTTGTCTCTCCCTGGTTCTTAAAAACTGGCCACACTCCCCCTAGGGAGCTGTCTCGTCTGGCGGTGTAAACCGGACTGAAACCAGACGGGCGCTGCCCGTAGCCCGGGACGCCTGGGAGGTGGAGACACCTGCTGAGGGCCGCGGAGCGTCGGTGTTCGCCGCTGCGTTCATGAGGCTGGGTGGGGGGAGCAGTCTTGGAGGTCACTTTGGAGATGTGGGGGATTTTGGCAAGTGGGGCTCTGTCCCTTTCCCCCACTTGAACCAGGCAGTTCTGGTTGTTTGGAGAAGTATTCCACCACAAATGCTTGAACACTGCTGGCCCAGAGGAAGCGCACGGGCCTGGGAGTTTAGAGACCTGGGTTCTGATTCTGGTTCTGCTGCCACAGGCTGTGATCGTGATTACACCACCTTCCCCCTGTGGACTTCAGATTTCTCATGCTGTGTGCACCATGGGGCTGAAACAAGATCAATCTTACTGCTCCTTTGTGCTCAAAGAATTTAGGAGCCAAAACCCCTGGCCCCCAGGGGCCTCAGCTCTGGGTCAGGCCGAGAGGCCAGGTCCCATCCGGGCAGGCCTGGGCCGGAGCTTCGAAGGCCATGTTATCTCATTGTTTGCTCTGCCAGCAGATGAGGAAACAGGCCGCAAAGGGTGGGATGATGAGTCCAAGGTCACAGGGTGGATTCTGGCTGAAACCCAGCCTCCCGCGTCTAAGTCCAGCTCTCCTGCAAAACCTGAGGGTCTGCTTGTTGGGGGACGCCTATCACCCAGGCACACCGCCGGGGCAGGCCAGCCGGCGCCCTGGGCAGAGAACATGGAAGATTATTGATTAATAATATTGATAATCGGCTCATGGGCTAGTACCTCTCGGTCATGAGTTACCAGGATTTGAACTTTTGTGGCTAATACGACATGGAAAACCCAGGCTTTATTCATGCTCCTGCCTGTTCAGTGGCAGATGGTGTGCGACTGTGTGAGCTTGGAGGCAGCGGGACCCCTCGGGGCGGGCGACTTCTAACCCGGCTCCCATTCCTTCTCCCTGCATCTCCCTCTTGCTTCACAGTGGGACGCCTTCTCCATTCCCGAGCTCCAGAACTTCCTGACCATCCTTGAAAAAGAAGAGCAAGACAAAATCCAGCAAGTGCGGAAGAAGTATGGCAGGTTTAGGCAGAAACTGGAGGAGGCCCTCAGAGAGTCCCAGGGCAAACCTGGCTAACTGGTCCTGCGTCCTCTGCTCCCAAGGCCCACGGATTGATTTTTATTATTAATTATTGTTTTGCCACAGACACTTTTTCTCAGGACACCCCTGATGGATGCGTTTGTGCCTGCCCAGCAGTCCCAGAGGTGGCACAGTCTCGGACGAACACGTGTACGCATGGGGCGGGGTCCTGCCACCCCCGGGCAGTGCCCGTCTGCACCCTGCCAGGCGGCACTCCTGTGAAGAGCAACTAGCGTCCTCTTGCGATCTGCAAGCCTCTCACAACCCAAATAATTGCACTGGAACCATTCACACTAGTCGGCAAAGGAAAGAAAAAAGGGTTCAGAGACACGTGTTCTTTCTCTGGCTTTTATTCTTCCATTTTTCTTTATTTGCTTCCCACAGTACCATTATTTATGAGTCAAAAGCTGTCATGTATCCCTTTAGCAGGTCAGCGCTAAGCCCCTGAAAGCAGGATAATGCTCATCAAAGGATTGTCCCCCACGGGCCCCAGATGCTCAGGTCAGGAGCACCAGAGATGCTCCTGAGTTGTCTGGAGAAGCTGCAGCCGGGCCCTGGCCCTCATTGCCTGAGTCTGTGCACCTGTGAGCCCATAGGTCTGCGCCTGCGTATGTGTGGTGCTTAGCCAACAACTCTGTGGTCTTAAGTTACAACGTTCTTTAATGCTGCCATCGCCCTCGTGTTTCCACCAAGGGGAAACCAGCTGTCCACCGTTTAGAAGTCTCCTGCTCAGGATGGATCAGGCAGGCAGAGAAAGCCAAGAAGCTTCGTGGAGAAATGTGTCCCGGCGTCTTCAGCCTTCCCCAGCGAGAGGACAGGGGAGAGCCTGGCTGCCTTCGTTTCCCGGCCCCGGCCCTGTCTCTCCTCCCGGGACGCGGAGTCTCCAGGTGCTGCTGGGGAGCCGCCTTGCGTGCAGAGGGCAGCACCTCCGACCAGCCGCCTGGAGTCCTTGGTGTTCTGAAGCGAGGGCCAGCCCGTGGCACTGCACTCAGAGAGCCGGGGGCTGGCCTCCCGCTGACCTCCAGTGCCTTTTTGTTTCCAGAAAGATAGGAGCAGGGAGAGTTGCTTGAAGCGTTGCTGCTGGCTTGTTCCTGCCAGGAAGTGGACCGTGGCAGTGTGGGAGCAAGGCCAGGAGAGCCTCCCTCTACATGTGAGGTCAGGGTCCCACCTTCCCATTGAACGCCCTGTGCTTTGATTCCCGTAAGTGATGTCAAACCACACTGCCAGGGCGGATCAGGTCCCGGCTCTCCATTGGTACTGGCTCCTCGTTTCAGTCCGAACTTACAAGTACACTAGCCAAACAACCCCAGCAAGTAGCCAGGGCTGCAAAGACTCCAGTGCCGAGAGAGAAAGACGCTGAACTTTAAAGCAGGCAGGTGTTCCAATCCGGCCTCTGAGAGACCATTTCTTCAGTGTCTTCTGCCTTCCCAGGTCCCTCTTGGGTTGGTCCAAGCTTGAGTTTCTTTGTGTAGCCTCAGAAGTTCCCTCCCCGACCCTCGCGGAATCCACACTGCCCTGACCCCAGAAGGAATGCTGACCCTTCCTCGGACACTCTGCTGGTCTTCGGAGCTGCAAAAGCCAGACAGACCAGCAGCTTGAAAAGATTTTTTAAACCACAAGCCCCTGGGGACCTGCCATCTCATGCTCAGCCTTAGCACTTCCCTCTCTTAAAGACTCTCTCTCCTGCTGCATAGCGAAGGGAAGGGGCGGAGAGTTGTTTTCCTTCATGCTGCATGTCTTGACCATGAATAAAAGGCACGGCTCCTACTGCAACTGCTTTGAATGCTGCTGAGAGCCTCCTTGTGATGGGGGTGGCTGTTTTATTTTTGAGAACAAAAGTCATGTACATATATACCATAAAGGCATACATAGCTATATATAAAGAGATGGGGGTGTTTATGAAATAAGAAAATTATGGGGAAATGCAGATTTTATCTAAAGCACAGTTAGACCCAGGACCCAGGCTGAGGTCCAAGCCTCTCAATACAGTGTGGATCAAGTATCCCTTCCCTCCAGAGGTGGGTATGACTGCTGGTAGTGCCTTTTATCGTCCTCTTGCCCAGTGTGTGTGTGTGTGTTTGTTTGGAGGATATTTTCTCCTTAAATGTCTTTCTTATCGGGTTTTTAAAAAAGTAATAAAAGCTCGTTGCAAAAACGACTCAGGCTGGAGACCTCGTCCTTGAACTTGACCCTCTCGTGGAACGTGGGAGCTGGGAGAGAGGGTGGGTACCGAGATGAGCACACGCTTCCTGGCAGTCAGACTTCCTTTTGCCTGAGAACAGAGGCAGGAAGGGTATGTTCAAATAATCTCGAGAGCACTGCTGGTGCGGCTCAGTGGTTGAGCGTCGACCCACGCACCCAGAGGTCGCTGGTTCGATTCCCGGTCAGGGTACATGCCCAGGTTGTGGGCCCGATCCCCAGTGGGGGGCATGCAGGAGGTGGCCAGTTGATGTTCTATCTCATTGATGTTTCTGTCTCTCTCTCCCTCTCCTTTCCTCTCTCTTTAAAATCAATAAAGAAAAAAAAAATTACAAAAAAGTAATAATCTTGAAAAAACTGTCCAAATACGTGGGCTGGAGAGTGCTGTCTAGGTGACCGGCTATTCTTCATCCCCACAGAGCAGGAGAGGAAAGGGCTTACTTCAGAAAGAGATGTTGAGTTAGAAAAGAGGGGCTTTCTGGAGCTAAGGATGGTTAACCTTCATGACCAGCTACTGAGGTAAGCAATGATTCTTCTGTTTCTTTTCTGATTCCAGTGTGTTCTTTTTTTAATTCGAGTATAGTCGACACACAACACATTAGTTTCAGATGTACAGCGATAATGATCTGACATTTGTATACCTTACGAAGTGATACAATAAGTGTAGTAACCATCTGCAACCATACAAAGTCATTATGTTATTAAGTATAGTTCCTATGCTGTATATTACATCCTCATGAATTATTTATTTTATAACTGAAAGTTTGTAACTCACCTTTTTCATCCATCCTCCCACCCCCTCCCCTCAGGCAACCATTAGTTTATTCTCTTATCTATGAATCTGTTTCCGTTTTGTTTGTTCATTTTTTTTCGATTCCCCATATGTGTGAAATCAAATAGTATTTGTCTTTGCCAGACTCATTTCATTTAGCATGATGCCCTCTAGGTCCATCCATGTTGTCACAAATGGCAAGATTTTTTTCTTTTTATGGCTAATATTTCATTACATACAGACATCCCTCGTTTATTGCGGTTAATCCATTCCAGACTCTAGCGGTCGCACTTGGCGTTGAAGGACTCTTACAGTGCTCGAATACATAGGCCTACAGTCCATAAATACAGTAATTTTAATTTTAGTTGTGATACAGGGGTGTATAATTGACTCAGACAACCGAGCGCGCACTGTATCATTTTCACTGTCTCAATCAACTTTTTAATGAATATATTTGAAAAAACCGCCATAGAGTGAAGCAGCGAAAATCAAAGTACGAAGTGGCGAGGGACGGCTGTATATATTGTATCTTTATCCAGTTGTTTATGATGGACACCTAGGTTGCTTCCATATCTTGTCTATTATAAACAATGTTGCAATGAACATAGTAGTGCATATATCTTTTCAAATTAGTGTTTTTGTTTTCTTTGGATAAATGCCCAGAAATGGGATTGCTGGGTCATATGGTCGTTCTATTTTTACTTTTCTGAGGGACCTCCATACTGGTTTCCAGAGTGACTACACCAGTTTGCATTCCCACCAACAGTACATGAGGGTTCCCTTTCCACACCCTCACCAACACGTTACTTGTTGACTTTCTGGTAACAGGCATTCTAACAGGTGTGAGGAGTTATTTCATTGTGGTTTTGATTTGCATTTCTCTGATCTTGAGCATCTTCTCATATGTCTGTTGGACATCTGTATGTCTTCTATTTTTTAGAATTACAGACACACCTAATTTTATTGTGCTTCACAGATGTTGCTTTTTGTTGTTGTTGTTGTTAGAAATTGAAGGCAAGAGCCTCCATCGGCAAGATTATAATTCACTTGATTGCAATACTTGCTTTATTATAATGGTCTAGAGCCGAACCCGCAACATCTCCAAGGCATGCCTGTATTTTAAAATAAAATAGACAGCCCTGGCCGGTTTGGCTTACCGGTTAGAGTGTCGGCCTGCGGTCCTGAGAGACCCGGGTTCGGTTCCCGCTAAGGGCGCGTACCTCGGTTGCAGTTTGTCCCCGGCCCTGGTCGTTTGTGCGGGTGGCAGCCATTCGATGTGTTCCTTTCACATCGATGTTTCTCTCTCTCTCTCTGTTCCTCTCTCTCCCTCCCACTCTACCTGAACAAAAATGGAAAAATGTCCTCGGGTGAGGAAAAATAAATAAATAAATAAATAATAAAATAAAATAAAACAGACAGGAATGTGGCTGAAAGCTGAAGGTCACCTCACCTGGAGGAAGAGGGCGAGACCAGATGACCAAAGTGGCCTTTCACTTTAGCTTTATCTAACTTCCATCAAAGGAACATCTCAGAAATCATGGGAATAACCACATAAAAGTTATTAAAAAGAAATTCTTGCCTGTCTCCCAGTATTGATCACACATTATTAATACAATGAATGGGGATCCTTAGGCTACAAGGGCTCATCAGTGCTCATTCAGTTCACTCCCTACCTCCCTGTAGGAGAGAATGTCCAATATATATTCTTAAAATTATCCAAAACTGGGGGACATCTGTAACATTTTTCACCTAGACCTCCAAGAAGTATGTTTCAATAATTCTGCCAAAACCTAGAAATAAACCAGTTTCTGCTTTTCACTGAAACTCATTTGGTTACAAGTTCTAAGTTTGGCCTTCATATAGATTATCTGGCTTAGCACATAGAAAAAAGAACCCAATATACCGCCTCTCTGCTGCCTTCTTCCGTATACCTTTGTGTCCACAAGGAGGAAAGGGAAGATGACAATGCAAATGTGTCACCATTACTGGAAAACCATTCAAAGCACAGGTCTTGACAGCACTGTCCCAGCAGAAACTCTGGGCTAAACCACAGTTGAGTGGATGTTCACGTAAGACCAGCCCGCCGTTTACTGGCTTTGTGACTTGAGCAGGGATTAACGAGGCAAGACACAACCTCTCTGAGCCTCCAATCCTTCCAGCATTGTGCAGGACACGTCATGTTTGTGACTTTTATCAAGTAGGACATGTTACTTGTATCCATAGACCATACTTCCTTACTACCAGGCATACTGTACTCCCTCAGATCAAACTGTCCAAAGGTTTTGTCGTAATGTGATCTTGTTTGGGGTTACGTTCTAGAAATGCCTTTCTCAGGTCCACCTGCTTATGCCAGTAGAGGATTAGTAAAATCAGGTTTACTTACAGCAGTCACCGTGGAAACACGTTCTGCTGGGTCTAATAACAACAGGGAGGCGGCCTCACACGTACATTTTCACACCCACCCCTTTCTTTTCAAGCCCCAGTGGATAATGTGACTATATCGTGGGTATTTCCAAGACTTTCTTCTCTGGGGTTCTTTTAAAAAGTGATACAAGAAAGAAACAAGGAAATCGAAGAGTAATTGTTTTTTGATGATAAAACCAAAGAACTCTAAAGGAATTCAGCTGAGCCCTTACTCCCTCCTATTGTCCAAGGAGAGCTTTGGTCACCGAAATGACTTCCAGGAACTGAGCAGGGACCAGAGCAGAAGTTGTGGACCCTCTTTGGCATCAAGTGTTCCCATTGGGAATTCAACAAAAGCCCAGTAACCTCTTTTGGGAAGATGATCAAACAAAATCTTGCATACCATTTCAGGGAGTCTATGGACCCTCCAGAAACCAACTAAGACCGTGTCCATGAGCCCCGGGTTAAGAAGCTTCAGGCTGCAGAAAGCGTTGTTGGATAGCCCTTCGCTGTACCGAAGTCACCACCTGAAGCCACCTCCCCCTTTACACTGCTCGTGGCCGTGTGCGGACCACGGGGAAGAGTCACTGTGCAGAGACCCACGTCCTCGTGTGCCTTCATGGTTTCTGATGTTGTCTAGTTTAGATGTTGCTGCACTTCAGGGCTAGTCCTCGCTGCTTTTGCCTTGGCTGATGACAGAACCACTGAGTTCTGCTTTCTGTATGAGTAACCCTTCAAAGATGGGAAAGATCTATTTTGGGGCTAGGAGCTTAATTAGGTAGTAGGAAAAGATGAGCAAGAGGCTGTGGACTATTTGGCAGAGGGACTTCAAACTAACAGGAAGGCCCCACCTGCCTGAACTTTGGCTAGGAGGTCTGGCCTCTGACAGCCGGGGAGGAGCCCAAACCACCGAGGCCACATGAAGGGGAAGGCACTCCAACTCCACCACCGCCTCTTCTGTTGATTTAAAATGGCTTCTGACTTAAAAATTTAGTATACTTTAGCTAAGTGGAGGAAACAAGAGGGAAACCAGATTTAGATTAGAATAAAAATTTATTCTGGTAAAGAATTATATATATTTTTATTTGCAAAAGCTGAAAATGCTCTATAAATGACCAGCCAGAGCTTGGGTTCCCACCGGAGCAACCGCATGAAAAGAGTCTGTCACTTCTTCTTGCCAGGTTTGGGGGCCTTTTCTAGGCCTTGGATGTGTTTTCGAGGAAGCTGATATTCTTCTACAATCCAAAAAGCAGAAACTCATCAGTGGGGCATGAGCTTTCCCTCTGACCCTCCCACAGCTCCCCCTTTGTTTCACAATGTCCCTCCTTGGCCCTGAGCCCCCTGGGCCCCCACCCTCACAACTGCCTCCTGGTCCTCTTGCCCCCTGGGCTCACTCCTCTTGACAAGCCTCTGTTCAAACGATGTGCACCACGGGACCTGCTCCTCTATACCCAGCTCACACGGGACTCCTCGAAAGCCTGGGATGAAGGGCTGCTCCTTGTACTCGAGGCTGACGTGTGTGTTTCAGTAGTTTCCACACTGATAGCTACTTGCTAGGTGTGCTGCAGGCATTTAGAATGTTCTCATGAGAAGAATGTGTGCCTGTGTTCAACCATGTGTCTGTCAGTTTTCCTCTGTATTTCTCTGTCTCATATAGGGTCTTCACTTAACAAGGCTCAACGCTGGAAGTGAGCTGCAGGGTCCTGCCTGCTTACTGAGCATTTACTAAGTGCCAGGCCCCGAGCATGAAGAGGGGATGAAAAAGGCAAGGTCTCTGACTCAAGAAGCTCAGCAGGAAGTTGACATTAGAAAAAATTAGCCAAGTTGTAGACACACCAGAACTATAAACACAATTGGAAAGTGCTACATTAGCAATTTTTCAAATGCTAATTTTAGGAAACAGAAAAAAATGGTACGCGCTCTGAGACAGGCTTCCTGTGACCTCTAAGCTGGCCAATGAGCCTTCAGCGTCAGGCAGACTTAAGCCGCGGGAGGCACAGCAGGTGAGCACCCGTGACTGTGCTTGGCATCTGGGGAACCCGGAGACCAGACGCTGAGGCCTGGGATGGGGACATAGGAGCTGCCAACAAGCCTGACTGGGGTGGGTCGGCTGGGAGGCCTTGTTCCTGAGCTTATTCTGAAGCTTTTTAGAGGAGTGATGTAATCACAATTGTTTTAGAAAGCTGACTCAGGCAGAGATGTGGAAGACAGCCTGAACTGAGGACAGGCTGGAGGCTGGGTGACCCAGAGTTGGTCGAAAGAACTCGGGCTCTGCAAGCTGACGAGTCCAAGTTCAGAGCCCAGCTGCAGCGCCCAGTAGTTGACTGTTTCAGAGCAGGGCATGGAACCTCATGGAACCTGTTTCCTCATCTACAATACAGAAACAGCTCTGCAGCACATTACGACTGAGAGATCACAGCTGCAAACAGCCCCCAAGTGCCTAGCACCTCTGAGTGCTCAACAGTGTTTATAAAAGGGAAGGACCAGGAAGAAAGCTACTCTCATAGGATGGTGGGAGGACAACAGGGCCAAAGGATCTGGTTTAAACATTAGCTCTACCTCTTCCTGGCTGGTAAAAGCCATATGGACATATACATAGAGGTATTATGAACTAGAGTGAGTTGAGTTGATGGGAAGATTTTCGCCAAGTCAGATCAACGTCTCTGCTTCTTCAGCGGGGATGCTCACCAAGCAGCAGCCGGCCGAGGTGGTGGATCTGGTTTCCCTGGATCTGGACCTGCAGGCTGTCCTTGGCCCCGGGGGCAGGAGTGACAGTGGTGCTAGCCTGGCATCGCTGCTGCAGGGTGGCAGCCACTGTGCATGGGTCCAGACCATAGGCCTCCAAATTCCGGACCACAGTCACCTGGGGGGACAGAAGACTGAGGATGGGTGCAGACCATGTGCCCTCCCTCCAGGGGGCCTTCCAGAGCTGCAGCAGCCTCTTCACCCCTATGTTCACCACCCCTACAACCACGGTACCTTTTCCTCCAATTCGTTTATTTTTATACTTCTAAATTGATCTTTTCTAGCCCATCTAATGTACATGTTATATATTTAGTGGGATAAATATTCTCTATCCCACATATAACATATACTTTTTTAGAAGTATTTTTATTATGGAAAATTTAAAACAAAGAAAAGTAGATAAGTATAACAAGCTGCCATGTACCCACGACCAGTTTCAACAGTTATCAAATCAGCCCTGGCCGGTTTTGCTCAGTGGTTAGAGCACTGGCCCACAGACCAGAGTCACAGGTTCAATTCCAGTCAAGGGCACGTACCTCGGTTGTGGTTCAGTCCCCAGCCCTGGTCGGGTTGTGCGGGAGGCAACCAATTGATGTGTTCCTCTCACATCAATGTTTCTCTCTCTCTCTCCCTCCCTCTCGCTCTATCTGAAGATAAATGGAAAAATATCCTCAGGTGAGAATTTTTTTTAAAAAAAGCTATCAAATTATGATCAACCTTGATTCATCTATATCACCATCCACCCCCCACTCTTATATTACTTTAAAGCAAATCCTCCTAGACATCAGATCATTTCAGCCACAAATATTTCAGTATGTACCTCCAAAACATAAGGGCTTTTTTAAAACATAAAGATAAAACTATCATCACACCTAAAAATAAACAAACAATAATTCTTAATACCAACTATCTCATCAGTAACGTGCATTTTTCTATTTTTTCATCAACTCACAAATAACAAGTATGTGACTTTGAGATGAAAAAGAAAAATATTAATACTTTTTAAAAAGTCACAATTCTCCCCATTTTTTAAAACAAGTTCTCTCTCATTCATGGAGATGGTAAAGGGAGTTGCTATCAGGAGTGGGTCGGGGAGAGACCAGAATTTTAGCTTTCAGTAAAGTCCATAAAAGCTCCAAATATCCTACGTTTGCTGAGGGCTCCAGCCCTAGAGAATCCCACAATCAACACAAAGTCCCATCGAGTCCAACCCCACCAGACGCATGAACACACGGCTGCCCAATCTCTGCTTGCAGACCTCCAGAAAATAGCTCCCTGTTTTAGAAAAGCACCAATTTCAACTTCGGACAATTCTAATTATTATTAATATATAAAACGAGTGTTTAAATAAGCTAATATAGAAATTGCTCAGTTCAGAGTCTGGCACATAAGTTATATACTCAAGAAGCAGTGGCTATTCTTAATTATTATTAAGGTTATTACTGGTTCTCATTTATTGAATGCTGATAGGCCAAGTACTATTCTGAGTGCTTCACCCAGGTGTATGCCTTCGCGGGTCCTCTCAATGCCTTATAAGGTAAGTATTATTCCCATCTTTCTACAGAAGGAAACCCAGGCAAAAAGATATTAAGTAACTTGCTCAAGGTCAAGCAGCAAGGCAAGGGCCACACTTGAACCCCGTCTCTAATCCTAAAGCCCACGCTCATAACCACACACGACTAGAAGGTTCTTCATTTTGAACCGAAGCCTGTCTTCTTGGGACGTCCACCAGCCAGCCGTTGCTGTCCTCCCGAGCACACAGAATGTGCACGCCTCTTCCTGACACAGCTTCTACACATTCCAGGACAGGTTCCCTAAGTCTGTGTGTGGCCACACGAAACACGGTCAGTTCCTGTAGCAGTTCTTTACAAGTTATTTTCACTAAGCAAGGCCCAAGAAGTAATCAAATGAATAAGAGCTGAAAGCCCGTAACATCGTTCTAAGAACAAAATAAAATCTCGTTAAAACCTCTGAACAAGGTTCTGGCCAGCCTCCTGGCACAAAATCCTAGAGGGCAGTGGGTGAGGGGTCAACTGTACCTGCCTTATCCAGGGCCCAGCCCAGTCACTCCAACATGGTGTTTCCTCAATCACCTTGGAGGTGTTTGAGGCCAATCTAAAACCCCCCGGTCACATTACTGAGACCAGAACTTACCAGGAACATTAAATCACCACCCTCAAACTTTGTGTCTTTTTTTTATCCTCACCCGAGGACATTTTTTGCATTTTTCTTCAGATAGAGCAGGAGGGAGAGAGGGGGGTAAGAGAGAGAGAGAGAAACATCGATGTGATAAGAGACATCAACTGGTTGCCACCTGCACGTTGCCAACCAGGGCCTGGGACAAACTGCAACCAAGGTACATGCCCTTAACGAGAACCAAACCCGGGACTCTCCAGTCTGTGGACCGATGCTCTAACCGCTGAGCCAAACCGACCAGGGCAAACTTTGTGTCATTTTAAAAATTACCTTTTTATTAGAAGCTCTCTGTGCTAGAGTGATGTCAATTGGGCAGACTTTGCCTTTCTTCACAATGGGCTCTTGTCCAGGAAAGGTCACTTGATAGGCAGGCTGCAATTTTTCCAAACATCTGAAACGGGCGTCAATGAGTTGTAGGTTGAGAGAGCCAACGGGAACCCTTTCCTCCTACCCCAGCACCAGCCGACTGTGGTCCGCCCTTGGCTGCCCATTAGAATCATTCAAATCACCCAGGGAGCTGCCCCAGACCAACAAGATCAGAAACTGACCAGGCATATGCATGTACAGATTTTAAAGCTCCTCGGGTGCGGCCAGAGTCGAGCCCCACCGCAGTCCTCAGGGAAGGGAACTTCAGCAACACTGCCGCTGGCCACTGGCCTGGCCTCAGAATTTGCTCTCGCTTCTTGGGGAGTTTACTGCCTGTTTCAGAACTCTATCTCAGCCGGCCTGGTCAAGTGCCATGTCACATTTCTAACATGCTGCAATAACACATCTGTTACAGAATGCCTCTACCACAAGGACTTTCTGCCTTTTCTTTAATCAGTTTCTCTGCTGTCATACATATGGGTTTCAATAGCCCTTTTCTCTCAAGAGCCAGACAGTAAATATTTTCGGGTTTGAGGGCCATGTAGTCTCTGCAGCAACCGCTCACCCGTGCCGCCGTGGTGGGAAAGCAGCCCACAGGCAACACCTACAACGACAGTATGTCCCGTCCCAATAAAACCGTATTTACAAACACAGGCTGGACCAGCCCCACAGCTGTAAGTCTGCAAACTCCTGATATAAATTATTTTCAGTTTCGATTCTGTAGGAAAGAAAAAATCTTTCCTTTGGAGACTTTAAGACAATTCCCCCTCAGCCTTCTTTTTGCTTCTAAATCTTTTTGAAGTTCTTATTTTTAATTAGTGTTCTTTCTTCTTCTCCCTCTCAAGTTGTCCTCTATATGTTGGCTCATGTCGTTCCAAAGACCCACTCATGAGTCCCCACACCTGTTTATGCAGACTGACAAGTCTGAATTATGGAAACAAAGTCGGAGGCGAAGGCAGTGACGATTCTCAAGTTCAGCGTGATGGATACTAAGGCGGGGCTGGAACAGTGCAGAGGGGCTGCCAGTCCCACTACCTGGTCAGAAGACTGTCCCATGGAAGCTTCACGACTGTGTGCTGTTCACTTTTCTCTAAGATGCAATCACACAGGATCGGATCCAACTTCACGAGACTAAAGGGAAAGGAGGTTATAAACAAGGAGGTCTTAGCCCCGCCCCTCCGGACCCAAGGGCCAGCTCGGGATCCACCTCTTACCCTAACACCCTTCACAGTCACTCAGGACTATCAGAACCAAAGTGGCGCACACTCCACGAAGCACTGCACCCGAGGGATGGGAGGTGGCTTCCCCAGAACAGGGGGCACAGGGGAGGGAAAGTGAGATGGCAAAAACCGAAGACCAGGATCTGTGGCTCGGTTCTGCTATTAACTAACCATGATGAGGTCAGCACAACTTTTGATGTCTTTTGAAAGTAAAAAATAAAAATTACGTTACTGTTCTTCATGTAGTAGTTTACCTCCGTATCCACTACTAAGAGAAGACCAAGAAGCTGTGGGGCCCTGGCCGGTTTGGCTCAGCGGTTAGAGCGTCGGCCTGCAGTCCTGAGAGACCCGGGTTCGGTTCCCGCTAAGGGCGCGTACCTCGGTTGCAGTTTGTCCCCGGCCCTGGTTGGTTGTGCGGGTGGCAGCCACTCGATGTGTTCCTTTCACGTCGATGTTTCTCTCTTTCTCTCTCTGTTCCTCTCTCTCCCTCCCACTCTACCTGAACAAAAAATGGAAAAATGTCCTCGGGTGAGGATAAAAAAAAAAAAGAAGCTGTGGGGACTGAGTTTGTGCTGCAGCCCTCACAGTGAGCATGTGCACAGGACAACCAGTGCTGGACAGACGGGAGGTAACACTCCTTCAGTCCAGTCTGACAGCACACACGGAGCCGAACACCCCCAACAACTCAGGGTTCCCACGGCCCAGTTTAGAAACCTGGTCTTCATTATTTCCACACGCCCCTCCGACCAGACGTCCTCCACAAACTGTCCAAGTCTGCGAAAGATCAATACTAACAACACACACAGTCTCCTCCCGACCCACTCACTTTTTGTTGTCTGCATCGACCAGGTCATTTTTCTTGGCGTAGTTGATGATGATCATCCGGACCTCACTGCCGTCAAGAACGCTCCCCTTCCTGGGTGAGAAGTGACCAGGGGGTTAGTTCATGGTGTCCAGGAGACAACCTGCGAAACAGCAAGCTCACTCCCTGCTCAGCAGGGTGCTTTCCCCAGCTTTTCGACCTCTTATTTTTTCCCTTTTCCTGACCGAGGTAGTAAGCAGGACCGTGTTGAGAATAATTACAGGTAGAAAAGGGAGAGACCTATTCTCTCATTCATTTAGTCTGGAGACACTTTCCAAGAAGGAGGCTTGCGCTGATCTGGGGGCGAGGGAGAACGGGGCAGCGGGCCTTGCCCATCACGGAAGAAGACCACTCAGGCAGAGAGGAAGTGCGGGCCAGAACACCAAGTAGGCAGAAGGGCTGCCCTACAGAACTCACTTGTGGCCAGACTCCTGGAAGAGCAGGGTCATGCTGGCTGGGACACAGTAGAGGGGTTTTATATCTGGAGGGTGATAGGGCTGTTCCCTGCTACCCTCCTGGATAGTCTGGGAGGTCGGGGAGGGCTCGGGTATGACGAAAGATGTGATCCTAAAACCCAGCAGAAGGAAAGAAAAAACACATTTTATACTAGTGTCTCAGCAGTCCCAGTCCATGGCCCAGGTGCCCCGGGGCCAGCTGAACTACGGTGAGCAGGCCCCTGCACTCACCTCGGGTGTTTCCAGTCCACAGCCACAATGCTCTCCACCCCTTTGCTCAGCTCCTTCACCTGTATAATCTGCTCCTGCTGCATTTGCTGCAGGAACTTAGAGAGCTAAGGGAGAGAGGGCCAGTGGTAGGGACCTCGTCACTGCCACTCCCTGAGCACCTAGGACGGGCCAGACACTGAGCTAGGCGGGTCCTGGGAAGATGTGGGACAGTCCCTGCCCTCATCAAACTAGGAACTGGGAGGCCCCCACCAGAGGTCAGGGGGTGAGAAGCTGCTAGAGAAGTGGTGAAGTCTTTCATTTCAGGACTCTGATCAGAATAAAGGGGTGAGGAGGAGAGAAAGGAGTGGGTGCCCACCAACTGCCTCAGCCCAGGGAGAGTTTTCTCCCCCACAACCTTATACCTGAAATCAAAAGCCCAATTCCAGACTGAGCCCTGGAGAGAGGGCTTCCCCAGCGTCCACCCAGCTCCTGCCACGTGTTCCCCAACACTCGTCCCTGTGGGTATGCAGAGAAGGCGCCGCTTACCTTTCTGTAGCTTGACTTCTTTATGTCCAGTTGCCGTCCTTCAGGGCTGATGGCAGATGGAAAAGACAAGTTAAGCTAACGAAGCCGCAGCGGTGGGCCCTGCCTGACACTGAGGGGAGGGTGCTTTTCCTGAGCCTTCCTCCCCCGCGGTCAGAAAGAGGCCGCTGTTCCAGAACTCTGCCCAGTGGCGGCCGCAGAGGGATCCAGACGGCAGGCTGCTCTACCTCACTGCTGTCCAACAGACCCCCTGTAAAGATGGACTGTTCGCTAAGTATTAGTCTATAAGCATGGCTATTAGCACTTGAAATGTGACTAATGTGACTAAGGAACTACATTATTTAAATGTAAGGAGCCACGTGCGGCTAGTGGCTACCGTACTGGATACAGCCTCAGCTCCCTCTCACACTAGACAACCTTCTGTGGCCTCAGAGGTTCCATCTAAGGCGAACTTTCCCTCCACCACATCCGGCCACGCCCACCCATCCACTGCTGCTGTGGCCGTGGCCTTGGGCTCCAGCCAGAGTGGAGCAGCCTCTATAGAGACTGCATGGCCTGCAAGGCCTAAAACATGTACTCTCAGGCCTAAAACATGTACTCTCAGGCCTAAAACATGTACTCTCAGGCCTAAAACATGTACTCTCAGGCCTTTTGCGGAACGTGTGTGCTGACTCCTGCCCTAGGGCTACTAGTTCCCAGGGGGCGGTGCTCAATCGTTCCCACTCCCAGAATGCACCGCTTCTCTCAACAGGCGCCACCCAGCAGCAGTGGGATTCACAGGGAGCCCCTCCCAAAAGCACCCAGGTTAAGAAGCTCTATCTGGAGCACATTCCAGGGTCCCTCGGTTACATGCCACCAGCATGATTAGGACCAGTGACCAAGTGCCTGCCACACCCCCCAGACCCTACACTTGTCAAGGACGCCTTACAAAAGCCCACATGTAAATAGGAGGAATGACAGTAAAACCACTTATTACAACACAGAGGGGAAAAAAAGAAAGTTCAGTCTCAGGGTAAAAGCTAACAAGCAAACCTCCAGACATGGTACTTATTAAGTGCTTACTAACGGTCACGCTATTTAATCTGACAGCAATCTGGCTGTGCTGGAAATGAGGACCCGAGAGGCCCAGTGCCGAGTCCGGGTTCGCCTGCTCCAGCGCCCTGGGGAGCTGGCATTTGAGGCCAGGTGGCTCTGTCCTCAAAGTTCAGGTCCTGCCCACACATGCTACTTCCCTTTCCTGGTGGCTTGTGCTTGGGGGAGCAGTGGGGGTTCACACCGATTCTTCCTCGATACAACCCGACCTGGCCCACCTACTTCTCAGGAGAAGAGTGAGGGGTGAAGGCTCCAGAAGAAGCCTCCTGACAAAGAAGCTGCTCAGGACTCTTCCTAGACAGGACGTGCCGCCCGGTCCCTGCGGGACCACCCAGGAGCCCCACAGCGGAGGCAGTGCTCCGGGAAACTCGGGAATCTCAACCGTCCTTTCCTTAGCACCCTTTCACCGGCTGAAGTTCAAGTTTCTAAAACCGAGGACCTACTTTGTGGACCAGATCAACCCCCTACTCCGCTCTTTCCACAGCAGGTCCCTCACTAACGCCCCCATCAGCCCTGTCCTGTCCCACCAGCAAGGAGTGAGACAGACCCACACCCAGCCGCCGGCCCACACCGCACCGTCCATACCAGCAGGAGAACACGTGGCTGCCGAGGAACGTGCTGGTGAGCAAAGGGAGGTCAGCCTTTTTGACTCGGCACTTCAAGGCATGCAAGAAGCATCGCTGTAACAGCTCATCCATTTGCTCTGCAAGGAAGAGAACCACATCCTTCCTGGGGGATTCAATGCCTGGCACTGCCCGCCCAGCTCCACCCCTACCTCACCCATCCCCAGGCCCCAACGCCCCCAGACTGAGCACAGAGCCTTTAAAGAGGGCTGACCCCAGAGAAGGGGCCAAGCACAAAGTCCCACCCAGCCAGGAGCCAGGGCTTCTCTGGCAGAAAGAAACCTTACAGGGCTGGGGCTGGGAACAGTCCAAACACCCAGGGACACAGGACTTGTGTGGAAAGACTCCCCGGGGAGATGTCAGAAAGCTGCTGCACCACCTCGCCAGGAATAGAGACGGGCCCCTCCGCTCCCAGAGCCTGGTGTTGCTCTCGTCAGAAGGAGAGCCTAGCACTTCGGTCTAAACTGAGAGATGCCCATCCTACTCCCAGCGCTATACCTTGAAGGGTCTTGCTGTCTGTAGGGTCGGGGTTCAGGCTCCCGATGCTAGGGTCTTCTGAGGCTTCTGGTAGGGTCTTCTCCCCACACATCTGCTGACCCTCCCCATTCTCCTCCTCCTCTCCCTCCAGGGTCAGGTGCCTCATGTCTCTCTGCAGCGTGGGATCTGCCTGGACAGACCCCTTCTCTTCACTGAGATCTGGGGGATCCGGGGCCAGTGGGGCAATGAAAGGTGGGGAGGACTTGTCTCCAGATCGCCTAGAAAAATTTCATGTTAGAAACACCAAGTAGCAACCACAGCACTTTCCATCCTGGGTCAGGGGTCAGCCAGGAGTTCAGAAGAGGAAGAGCCACAGACAGCGGTGTGCAGGAGAGGGCAGAGAACCTGGGCTTTCATCTCAACTTTATTTCCAGTTCCGGAACCAGAAAAGTCACATGCCTCAGTTCCCTCACCTCTGACTCCTCCCTACCTCAAAGGAATAATAATATTATTAGTAAACATCCGGGGACAGAGAAAGATTAAAGAAAAAATAATTAAAGAGAAACCCCCAAAAGTATTCCATTCATTGGAATTAAAAATAAAACCATTTTCAATTAAAAGACAAAATTAAGATCGCAAATGCAGCTATCTGTAGGACGAGTTTGGTGAAATACAAACACCCAAGGCTCATAGGATGCAACAAAGTACAAACACCTGGATGCTCCAAGACTGCGAAACCACTTGCTCTGCGTGAGATGGGAATGCGATCTAACCTGCAGAGCAGAGATTACGATGGTCTAATGCTCTAAGTCTTAGGGAGAGAGAAGAGTGATGCCACAGAGCAGAGCACGCAGAGGTAAAGGCACAAAGCTTGATTATTTTTTGTTAACCCTCGCCTGAGGATTTTTTTTTTCATTGATTTTTTTTTTTTTTTTTTAAGAGAGAGTGGAAGGGAGGAGAGAGAGAGACAGAGAGAAACATGGATGTAAGAGAGACACATCGATTGGTTGCCTCTCGCACACACCCCAACTGGGGATGGGGATCAAACCTGCAACCCAGATACGTGCCCTTGACTGGGAATTGAACCTGCAACCCTTTGGTGCACAGGCCAATGCTCTAACCACTGAGTCACACTGGCCAGGGCCACAAAGCTTGATCTTACTCAAGATTATATAAATCAAGCTAAGTTTTGATTAACACCTGCAGCAAGGCTTAATTAGAATTGTGACTAGTGAGGCCAGAGTGTATGTTTAGGCTATTCTGATCAGGTCAGTATCGTAAATATTTTTAAAAGCGGGGGGTGGGGGGGATAGCAGGGGCTGAGGAGCCGCTGATCAAACAACTTAGACAATATGACCTTGATTGCCGTTGCTCAGACTGTTAGCAAACAGTATGCTGGGAGAACATCAGTAAGCAGCTCTCAAATGTCTGCTAAGCACAGGCTGATGAGGTTGTATCTCCAGCAAAGCAGAGTGTAGCCAATTCTTGTCAAATGAGTAACTCCAAGAGAGGGCTAAAAACATAAGGATGACTCTATACCAGCAGGCCACGGCACGTGGCCAAAAGACCAGGTGTAGTGCTTTAGAGAAAAGCACTATTTACTGTTTTGGTAAAATGACCAGAAAATAAACTGGCATATGGCTCCAGAAAGCAATTGTTACAGTGAGAAAGTGGAACTTCCATACTGGAGAGGAGATCGGGAACGTGACACCTGAACAACCTAACAGTAATCGTCACCCTGGTGTCTGAGGATCCACTCTGCTTAGACTTGGATTCAGAAGTGAGAATTTCTGAGCATTGGTCATGGGGCCAAGAGATGCCCAAATGTGCATGGCACACAAGGCCAGATCGCCCAGAGCTATAAAAATAAAGACTATCATGGTATTGAGAGGCAGAGGAGACAATCCCTAAGGCTTTCTTTCAGGCCTAGGATTCTATAATCCACTTAGAAAATAATCAAAGTTCTTTGTAATTTCTTCTCCAAACAGGCCCCCCAAAATTATTTCTTCACATTTAACCAGGAAATACATGTCTGGGGTCAGCAACTTGCCTAAGGACACAGCAGGGACCAAATCTCTCACTTCTGAATCCAGGCCCCATGCTCTCTCCACCCACGCAGCTCTCTGTAAAACAGAAACAAACACGGGACCCACCACAAGTAGTCCTGGTAGGTGTGGAGCACAGAGAAGCCCCTTCCCTTCAGGCCTGAAGTCAGCATCTCAGATGTAGACATGGCAGCAACTCCGATGGCAACAGGGGCTCTAAGGAGGAGAGGCCAAGACAAGGGTCAGGGAATCGAGAGAGCACAGTCAGGACCCTTTCCACACATGTGCGAAAGGCACCATGGTTGCCAACCTGAAGCATCCACCAGGATCAAAAGCTAAATTCAGTCGTCTCAATTTTCTTCAGCTTCCCTATAAATACGCCTTTCAAAAATCCCTCGACCAAATATCCCCTTTCTTGTAAGTAATTTCTCTGCTGATGTTGTCACTTTTTGTTTTGTTCCTATTATGAGTTAAACCCAGGCAGAACATTTAAACCCATAAGAGGATATTTAAAGTTCCCTTTCTTTCATTTCAAAAATATAAATGACTTCCCTACCTTAAAGAAGGCCTAGTCAGCCTACACTGAGTTCAGAAGGGAGGCCATTCCTGTGCCCTAAGTTAGGCTGCGGGATGTCACAGGGAAAACAGAAGAGATTAAAGAGTGGCGCCCACTAGTCAGGTTCCTTCTGAGTTGGCTCTTTATAACGGGACTTGCTCTGTGTAACTATGTATCTAAGAACTGGGTGTGTCCAGAATGTCAAAAACAACCATATTTATAGTAACTATAACAACGTCCAAAGCCCAAATGGGACATCTGTGCCATCCCAGCGCTTCTCGAGCATTGCTCATACAGTGCCTGCAAGGATCGGTGGCCAGCTGGGTAACGGTGGGGGAAGGTCACCTTGGCTCAAGAGAGAAGATTCAAGAGCAGAGTTCCCAGCACCTGAACTTAAAAAAAAAGTTTGCTAACTTGGTGGCTCCACTTACTGTGCCCAAAGGTCAGTTACAGCTACAGACATTTTGAAGCTGGCTTCTTTCCCAGCTCCTAAGAGAGGGGTCTTTTTCTTGCACCCCTGGGTCAATAGCTCAGGAACTTCAGTCAACTTCTTTGTACCCTTATCCCCTGCCACAAACCATCCCAAGCTTCATTTTCAAGGCCAAACTAAGCAGGTCAACGCATTTATGGTGTTTTCCCCTTTCTTTGATAGAATACTGGAGGGGAAAAACAATGACACCACCATTCTTTTTAACTGCAAGTTTTGCTACAGGTAAACAAGGAAGGAAAAATTTCTAGGTGCTTGGTTCCAAAAGGCTCAAGGCAAACTGGAAAATATCAGTAGCAAAATTAAGATCTTTAAACACTGACTCCTCCCTTGCCTACAATCTCTCTCTCTCTCAAAGAAACAATGAGTAAAATAATGAGATGTCACTTTTCACTCAGGATGACACAAATGAAAATGGCCCACTATATCCAGTGCTGGTGAGAATGCAGGGAAATTACCCTGTAGGTGGGAGTGAAAACTGATACAGCTTTTTTGTAGGGCACTAGTATCTACTCTAGAAAAATACTGGCACTGGTATTCCTAGAGGCATCAGTAGGATGTTGTTTTTGATAGAGACAATTTGGAGAAGCCAGAATGTCTACTAGGAGAAGCCCTCTTCCATCACCACACAGTAGGTACAAAGATTCAGTAAGTATGAGTATGCTGACATGGAAAAAAAAAGAAAAAGCAGCAGCAGCAAGTACACTGCACCCAGATGTGTGGAGATGTGTGGACACCCCACACATCTCATTGCAATTCTCTGCCTCTTCCAGAACCTGTGTTTTTCCCATATGCTTTGGAAGTTGTCATTCCCCAACCCGCTCCCCAGTTTTACCTCAGTTTTCCCCAACAAAAGCACAGCTGTCTGGCACAGTACCTGTTTCCCACCAAGACAATGGCACAGAGGTCACCCTTCTGTACCTGAGGCAGACCAGCAGGTGGCACCACTAGTCCTGGTAACATCAAATCTGCAGCAAACAAAATAAAAGCATCACTACTCATGTAATGCCTCCATCTAATTCCATCTTTAACTTCATCATTTACTTATTCACTCAACAAACATTTATCCATGTAAATATTAACTACATTATTCATATGAAAATTAAAAATGGCAACCTGAGTAGCAGACCTTTTCCCCTTGGGGGCTGGGTGGGGCTAGGGGTCATATCGAAACACCAAGCAGAGGATCCAACTCCATGATCTATCTTATCCTAGTTTTCTAAGTTTAGCTTGTTGGTGTACAGTATAGCATAAGGCAGTTTCCGAGGTATTTTCATATCATTTATCTTATTTAAGCTTTACAAAAGGGACAGAGAGGCCCAAAGGGCTCATGGAAGCAGCCAAGTGACAGACATAACACACATGAGGAATAAATTCCATTTTTCCAACATATGAATGCAGGAAACAGGTACATTTCTTCAAATAACTGGCCCTTCCTAAGTAGGTTTCAGCTAAGAACCACAACACAGGAAAATCCTCTTACCTGCTCCCCCCACCAGTTTTTCGAGCACCAGAGGCCATGTTGTGAACGTTGGTAGAAGATCAGGATATGACCACAGAGTGTACACTGTCCAAAAACAGACCCCGCCCCCCAAAAAAAACACTTAAGTGCCAAAGAGTCAATCCCCTATGGAATCTGCAAAGCCAAACACTAAGGTTGATTTAATTAGGATATAGAAAAGAAACTCAACTTAAAGCTAGTGAGAAGGTTGTTGAGGGGATGCCCAGAGATTTTATTCTTGAAGAAGGCAGAGACTTAAGAAATTGGATGTCACTTCAGATTTGAGGCACTTATAGTACTACCTGGATTTCAGCAGCAGAAAATGGCCACAGTCGATAAAAGTGGGGACACAGGACATCTTGCTTCCCTATATGTCATCAGTTTGGTTCAAATAAACTCTTAGAAAAATTTTTTTAAAAAGTAGGGACATAGACCCAACAAGGATTCCATTTACTACCTCAGAAGCAAGTAACCTAAGAACAGGGTACCAGCTTGTAAGAAATTCTGAAACTTTCCCATGTCTATTATTTTCATTCTGTTTCCACAGTAATTAGCAAAAAAACTAGATCAGAAAGGGCCCATGTTTGTATAGCAGCAAAGTGGGGTTGGGTAGGAGCGGCCAAAGGAAACTGCATTGGACTGTTTCAGTCAAGCTTGGAGAAAGAAAGCCCCAAGTGACAAAGTAGGTGTCAGCAGCTATGGAAAACAGAAAAGAACAGAGTCTCTGAGACTTGTGATAAAGAGAGACAGCAAAGAATCCTGAGAGCCAGGCAGAGCCTAAGAAAGACTCCCAGTGACATGTCACAACTAAAGTAGATCACAAAGCCAGGGCAGTGGGTAGTTTAATTAATCCAGCTTCTTTCCTGTAACAGTATCTCTTTGGTACTTTAAGAAAATCCTGCTAGTGATAGTTTTAAAAAACATTCATGCCCTGAAATTTCAGTTTTCAAGACCTCTGCCCCATCCCTAATTAACCTACTATAAACTATTGTTCCTTGATCTTAGAATTTCCCTTGGCAACCACCCTTTTTCTGTTTGCTCTGTTTTTTTCTCCCACCTATAGCAGTTTCTCCTCTTGAAAGACCCAATTTCAGGGATACTAGGTCTAAAAAAAAAACTTTTAGGGATGGTATTGGGAGATTTTCAACTTGTTTGTTTTAAGCAAAACAGGTTACTGGAAGAAACAGGAGAAACAGATATTAGGCAAAGACTAAAGTGATGGCCTTCTCCAGCCTACTGCCATACCTGTTGGATATAGATTTTTCTCCAGTTCAAATAGGATGGGATTACCACCACTCACGTACACAGTCACTGCATCCCCTCTGTGAGCATACAACTTCACAATGTTGAGCTCTTCCTTTCCAGGTACTAACTCAGAGACCTGATCAGTTCCAAGAGTGGAGAAAGCAGCTGTCACATCAGCCCGAAGCTTTCTCCTGCAGAAAGTACACCGATAACTGGTATGAATGCTAGAGTTTAATAAATATTGAGGACACACTATAAAATCATGGGGGGGCCAAGGAAAGATTGTCTGATTTACAATGCTGTATTTTAGCACACTCTTCCAAAATATCCCATTCTGTTTCTCATCCGATGTCTCGCCTATTTTCACATGTTCCTGGGCAAATCCTTCTGTTTTACAAAGAGAAAAACTGAGACCCAGTGAGCATCCCAAGCTAGCCTGACATTGAAAACTCAGCCCTGCCTTCCTGACTCCATGCCTAGCCCTCCAACCCACTTCTTTCTCATATACGTTTGGCAAATCTGTCAGCTGATGATTAAATAACTATACCAGGGCACCAAGAATAATAACTATAGAACACTGTTCCAAAACTGCCATGTGACGTGTGCCTTTACAATACTATCTGAACAAATATAGTTCTTACCACATGTGCCTTTTCCTCTCCCACTTCACCCTCCATCTGTCTCTCCTGCCAGAATTAATCACTAGCCATTTTTTCTTGTATATTTGCAGTTCTCTGTCTCCCATTTGATCTCTCCCAAGGGGCTCTAAGCTCTTTGGAGGGCAGGGACTCTGTATTCCTTCATTTTTGCATCCTCCACACCTTAGACTGTATTCTATAAGGGCTGACTGAATTACGTTTTCTTTTAAACTCACTAGATACATGTATCAGGCCTCCTCTCCACCTTCAAAGTGTGTCTAACCCACCCTTGCCCCCTGGGGTCCCTTTCCCAGGTATACCCCTCGGCCTCCACCCCGGTCGGCTGACCCAGCCCAAAGAGTGCTGTGGACCAACCCGGTTTGAGAGATAAGTGGGTGCCCTCGTGGGCGGAGCAGGCCCCTTCTCTCCCTCACCTGTCCGACCCCTTGATGGCCGTGTTGGACTTGACCCGAAAGGCCTTGGCAAACATGTCTGCTGGAGTGGCCTGAGGAAGAGAGGTAGAGCACAGAAGCCAGGGGCTGTCAGGAAAACAAGAACGCGACGTCTCCCCACCCCGCAGCCCTGGGCGCAGCCATGCTGGAGCCCGGCTGGGAAATGAGCCCGGCTGGAAACCGGTGCCGCGCAGCTTCGGCTCTTGACGCTGCGGAGACCGCCGCCGCCCCTTCTGGCAGGGCCGGGAATTGAAGCAGAGCGGGGCGGGGCGGGGCCAGGGAAAGGCGGGGCGGACTCTAGAACGCCCCTCCCCCAAAGCCGCGCCCCTCTGCCGGGTTCTGCGCCTGCGTGAGCAACATGCGCCTGCAAGTGACCCGCCCCGCCAACAGATGTGTTCATTTCCATTCTATCGGCGTTTACGTGTGCTGCGTAGGGGCCCTGCTAGCTTCCCCATTCCATTTAGTTCAGTTCCACAAAATTAATTGAATTCTTGTGTTTTACTTAACTTGAAGACTTCCTGAATGTTTTTCTTAAGAGCTATTGTTCATTAAATCTTTACATTTTGTTGCACACTTAAAGCATCAGCTAGGATTTTCTGCAAGATTTTCTCTTCCCTGTTTTTTAGTTTACATGGTTGATAATAACAATAACAGGGAATCTAATCTTGTCCCAGATTTGCCCCTCAGGTTATGAGAAAAAAATTACTACAAATGATTTTCAAATGTATTTTAAAAAAATATTTTTGGCTATTTGTATGTACCTTTTGGGTTCAGGCATTATTGGGGTTATTGTTTTTTAAATAATATCAGGAAAGAGGGGGGGTCATTCATTGGATGTTATCTTTATTTTTATTTATTTATTTATTTTGGTATGTGCCCCGAGGGGGAACTGAACCAGGGACTCTCTGGTTCGCAGGCCGATGCTCCAACCTGGCCAAACTGGCCAGGGTGGGGTTATTGTTTCCAAAGTAAATATGTTACTTATGAGTTTATTAACTCATATTGCTTATTTTTAAAAATCTGTGAGATAGATTAGGATCAAATAATGGTTTGGCCTCTCACTAGCAGTGTGATCATGGACCAATAGCTTATTCTTTCTGAAACTCTTGCATTCTCTGTGAGATGTGGATGCTATCCCCATTTCATAGGGCTTCCATGAGAAACAATTGAAATAACATATGTATGATGTTGCACAGCACTTTGCAAATTTCCAAAAATAATAAATATTAGTCGAAAAAAATCAATCTCAGACAGGGATGAGGGCTTGGTTTTCCCTGAGAGGGGCATCTGTGTGCCCTGGAGGCAAGGATTTAAACACCTGGGGTCCTGGACCCTACTAAATGAAACTTTACATATGAAAACTTAAGAGCAGAGTGTCCATCCACCAAGAAAAAAATCCTAATTGCTTTATTAGATCATATAGTTGCACAAAGGAGAATTCCACATTGACTGTCAAAAGATTAGGCCCTGCACAGTGCCCACCATCATTCTTGGAAGGGTCCCTAATACAGCAGGGGGAGCCAGCCCCAACTCGGGCTCCCCCTGCACTTCTGACCTACCAGACTTTTATTCTGAAGCACTGCAGTCACAAGACCGAAGTCAGAGCAGTCCAGGGGAAGACAGTACCACAGAGTCCTGTCCCTCTTGTACCCCCACCTGGCCACACTTAGGGGTCCTGCCTCCAGCCCTGAGCAAGTTGTCTAGCCCCACAAGTTCAAGTCTTCCAGCTGAGGCAGCTGGGAGCAGAGACAAGCCATTTCACTAGGCCCTGTCTGAATGCCTGATTCTTAAGATAGTAAGTAATTATTGTAGTTTTAAGCTGTTAAGCTTGGGGATGGTTTGTTATGCAGCAATGAATAACTAGGAATCCAAGCATTTCTCAGTCCCAGTGCATCCTAAAATAGCCAATTTGTTCATTTCACTATGATGGAATTATAGCTGTATGCAATCCAACTCTTCTCCCAGGAAATCATCCTCCACTAGCTCTTTTGCTAACAATGCGAAAATTGAAATTTTGTTTAAAAATTTTATTTTGTTTTTCAATCACACTTGACATTCAATATTATATTAGTTTCAGGTGTACAGCATAGTAGTTAGATGTTTATATAACTTACGAAGTGATCCCCCTGATAAGTCAAGTATCCATGTGGCACCATACATGGGTATTACAATAGTATTGACTATATTCTCTATTCTGTATTTTACATCCCCACAAAAATTGAAAATTCCAAAGCCTAAGATGTTTGGCTAATGTCAAGTTGGAGAGGTCTAGGAAAGGGAGGAGCTTTAATCAGGAAAAAAAAAAAAATTTGCCAGAAAATCTGTGACTATGTGGCTTTTTTATGAATGGGGAGGCCCTACTGAATCCACAATATAAAAGGGAGACACAGTAGGTGAAGGTCTACACATCAGGGCCTTGCTCTTGTGAAACCAAGCCACAAGGCCGACTCGCAACACTGCTCTGTTGCCTGGTCTTCCTGGCTGGGGTCGGGGCCAGCCCAGACTAGAGCACACCATCTGAGAACAGCTGCACCCACTTCCCAGCCAGCCCGCCCCACATGCCCAGAGAGATCCAAGCTGCACTCTGCTTCAAGAGAGTGAAATCTTTGTGAGTCTGATGCCCTTGTGTCCTTTCTCTCTTCTTGGGACTGGCTGAACTACACATTCTGCTGGAGTTTTAAAGTCCTCTTTCTTCACGGCCTCCCCCAACTCATACCCCAAAAGCTAATGAATCTGGAGGATCCCAGGTGAGGCCTGTAAGAGTCTTCAGACACTAGCAATTGGGCAGAAAGAGGTTATATAGCTACTCAGAAGTAAAACCTTCTACATCTCAGAGTTATAGTTATTTCCGTACCTGAGATAGATCTGGAAGGACTGAGTTGAGGTGAAGATGTTCTCCACAACCTGTGGCAGAAACCTGTCACTGGGAACTCTCAGAATCTAGTGGACTCTGGGAAAACTCCACAAATGAAGGAAACCTGCCTTAACAGATGACCCCCGATTCCCAAGGATCTTCAAGTTCCAGAGCTGATGTCCACAGCAGGGAGCAGGGAAAGGCAAAGTGCAAGAGGTACCTGAGGGGGCTGGACGTCCTGAAGTGAGACCTGACCTGGGTTTCGAGGGAAGACCAGGCAAGGGGCTGGCAGTCTAGACTCGAAGCTCTGGGGCTGAATCAAGATGCTTCCTAACTTTGAAGTCAGGATCTCAAATGATACCTGAGCCTAAGAGAAATATTCCTTTTTAACTCATTCATACTGTACGTTTGGGTCCTGTGATCAAACCTAGGTAAAACTGCACAGATCACACAACAGAGGTCATAAATAAAAGAGGCTCAGGGGACAAGCGCTGTGCATATTTTTCTGAATGTCATAGTTCCTCTAGTTTTGTGCTCTCAAAGCAAAGCCCAGATAGGCTGGTTTTGTTTAATATTTCTTTTTTAGAGGACTCAAAGGCGAGAGACTTTCTAGATTCTGGGACTGGGCAACACACCTGGAGTATGGGGAGGATGGATGTAAACCTCCGAAAGGGATGATATACAGAGAGGGTAAACTATGGGAAGAAAGCCAGACACATTAATAGCTTCATGTCTGCAGGCATTGGTGTCTGCTTCCTTTGCCTAGCTCGGTAAGCTCAGCCCAGTCTAAGGTCGGTAGGCCCGGCTGCAGAGAGCCTGTACATTTGGGATGGAGGCACAGAGGTCTTCATTCCAGCTAGTCAGGTTGCCCCATTTCCCTGCTTAATCACCCACCTTCCACTCCATTGTCCCTTGGGCTACATAAGATTACTGACGTGATGACAGAAGCAGAGACTGGAGCGATATGGCTACAAGCCGAGGGATGCCAAGGATTGCTGGCACCACCAGAACAGAGGCATGAACAGATTCTCCCTCGGAGCCCCCAGAAGGAACCAAGGCTGCTGACACCTTTCATCCTTCTGGCCTCCTAAATGAGAGACAATAGGTGTCTGTTGTTTTCAGCCACCCAGTGTGGGGCAATTTGTTCCAGCAGCCCTGGAAATCTAATGGGAGAGAAATAGAAACACAAGCTCACAATGTACACAATGTACACAAAGGTCTGTACACAATGTTCATAGGAACTTTACACATAGTAGCTCCAAAGTGGAAACAGCCCAAATGTTCACTGACAAGGAACTGGATAAACAAATTGTGGTCTGTCTCCTCAGGGGACTCCTACTCCTTATTTAAAATAAAATGAATGACTGAGATGTGCAACTGTATGGGAAAATCTTGAAAACATCGTGTTGAGAGAAAGAAGCTGGACCCTGGAGTGCTCACTGTATCATCTCATTTATGTGAAGCTCTAGAACAAATAACACACATCTCTGGTGGTTGTCTCTGGGGTGAGAGAAGCAACTGGAAAGCCTAAAGGGGTTATAGAAATATTCTGTATCTTGATTAGGGTTTGTGTTTCACGGGGATACACATTTGTCAAAACTCATCAAAAAATACATTTTATTGGGTATAAAATTTACCTTTAAAAATTAGTAAATAAAAATGTCCAAAAATTTTTTTTAAGGATTTAGGGAATACGATTATATGCACTTGACTGTGTGTGAGTTTGTGTTTTGGGGAGAAGGTGGGAGAAAGGAATTAGGGTGATTTTTCTAAGACCAGACTTCAAGTCTAATTCAAAGTATTTCAGATGAAGATTTTACTCCCTATACCTAGGATTAGCAGGTTTAGCAAAGAAAAGTGCCCAGTTAAATTTGAATTTCAGAGGAAAAATGAATAATTATTTAGCATCAGTATGTCTCAAATTTTACGTAGGACATACTCACAACCTATCTACAGGTCTGATCCCATAGTGAAATATGTTGATGACCTATGAGGTGCAGCCCAGGAAAGGCAGGTCGAGCAAGAGAAGAAACAATTATTTAGGAAAAGTGGATGGAAACTGTTAAATTCTTATAAGTATAAATTTGATGACTTGAGCTGAGAACATTGAGTCTTGGAGACTGGAAAACAAAAAAGAAAGAGGGAGAATCCCTGGGGATCGTGGTGTGGGGGTGAAGATCTGGAACCTTCTATGCACCAAGCATAGGACCCTGTCTATAAACGACCCTTGATGAGCACTGTCTGATTTGGGTGCACACTGGAGGACAGGAAGCTGAAACTCTGGTTTTTGGATCGCTTTAATGTTCATGGTGTTTCCTAGGGAGTATGGTAGTCTACAAATAAAG